GTTTGCATGTCATTGTTTATTAAGGAAAAAGGTATTTTGAGTCAAAGTGGTTGCTTTTTGAGTTGGGAAGTGCCAGGTGCCCAAAGCAGTGCCAGTAATTAGACAAACTGGCATGTGGTGCTTTAGGAAGTGTTGTCTCTAATTATTTATTTAATATATAATGCGCATTTTAATGAAACCCAATTGGAGTGAGATACGGATATTGCAGACTCTAGACAGAAGGTATGATTCTGTGACTAAATTATCTTGCAACAGCAGAAAATGAGTATGCCACAGTTAATAAACATTTTCTTTCGTTGTGTGACATGCAAGTCCGGTGCTTCACAGATGTGTCTTGAGGACCTTGAAGGATATTTTGGTTAGGGCCTGAAGTTCTGGGGTTGCCTTGAATCTTGGACCCACATGTAGCGACAGCATTAAGCATTACTCAAGTTGGAGACGAGGAGAAAGTTCTCTCAGAGAATTGTTAGTGTTTGGGATTTCTGACCTCAGCCAGCAGTGAAAACTTGGCCATTGAATATGTTCAAAGCTAAGTTAGACAGATATTTGATCCAGAAGAGAATCAAGGTTTATAAGGAGCAAGCAGAAAAGTGAAATTAAGACCTCATCAGATCAGCCATGCTTTTGTTGAATGATGGACCAGGTTCAAGGGGTCAAATGACCTACTCCCCTCCCCCGGGACAGATGTAGGTGAAGTGGTAATGTTGCTGGATTAGTAATCTACAGGGACAAGTTAATGCTCTGTGGATATGGATCCAAATCCTGACATGGCAACTTTTAGTTCAATTAATAAATCTGGAATGAAAAGCCTGACTCAGTAATGATGGCGCATCAATTGTTGTAAAAACCCATCTAGTTCACTAATGTCTTTTAAGGCAAGGAAATCTGCCATCCTTATCTGGTCTTGCCATTGTGTGGGCAACATAGTTAACTCTTGTGGTCCAGCAAGCCACTCAATTCAAGGACTATTAGGGATGGGCATCAAATACTGGCCTTGCCTGTGGCATTCACATTTCATGGAAGAGCAAAGGAAAAAATAATTCTCAGTTTCTGATCTGCCAGATAGAGGGAGAGGAATTGCTGATGTGTGCTGAAGTCAGACTACCTGTACAACTGGTTTGACAATGCTTCAACAGGAACAGATTTAAAAGAAAGGTTTGTGCTTGATGGCAGTGGCTTAATTGAACAGGGTTATCTAGAGTGGCAGTCTCAGCTTCAAAATACATCAATGGAGATTGATCAATGGAGAATGGGGCAGCACAGTGGCTGGGGCAGCACAGTGGCTCAGTGGTTAGCACTGCTGCCTCACAGCGCCAGAAACCTGGGTCTGATTCCACCCTTGGGCAACTGTCTGTGTGGAGTTTGCACATTCTCCCTGTGTCTGCATGGATTTCCTCTGGGTGCTCTGGTTTCCTCCCACAGTCCAAAGATGTGCAGGTTAGGTGGATTGGCCATGCTAAATGCCCATAGTGTTCAGGGATGTGTAGATTAGGTGGGTTATAGGGGGCTGGGTCTGGGTGGAATGCTCTGAGGGTCAGTGTGGACTTGTTGGGCAAAAGGGCCTGTTTCGACACTGTAGAGATTCTATGATCTAAGAGACCATATCATGTTCTAGCTAAGGGTATTTCAATGTGCTTTAAAACCCTTTAGGTACTCATTGAATGCCATTAATGTTCTAATGCTGGAAGCAATGACAGCTAATTTGTACATAGAACACTCCCCCCAAACAACAATGTGATAATGATCAAATGATTTTTTTTGAGTCATATTGGTTGAAGAATAAACATTCACCAGAAGTCCACGCTACTTTTTAATGGAGTGAGTGCCACCTTAGGATATGTTTAAAATCTCAACTGAAGACAGAACCTCTGACAAAGCAGCCCTCCCCCACTTCTGCAATGAAATGTCAGTATATATTCATATCTCTGAAGTGGGACATTAACTCACAACCTTTTGAGTCAGAGGTGAGAGAACAATCATTGGACTGCAAACTTTCCAGAATTTCCACCGATGTCTATGCAACAAAAAATGGTTTTATACACTCTACTGATTGTGATCTATTTTGATTCTACTGATCAAGAGAGAAATGTTTCAGACAGAAACAGATTTAACGGTCGAGTCCAACATGACTCTATGGAACTGGAAGGAAAGTCACATCAGACTCAAAATGTTAACTTTCTTTTTCTCTCCACAGATGTTGCCAGGTCTGTCAAATTTCTCCAGCATTTGCTGTTTTTATTCTGGATTTCCAGTGTCTGCAGTATTTCATTTTTATTATAAGAAGTCTTTCAGGTTTGTCTTTGTTTTGCCCTTGACAGAAATCAGCGACTCCCTAAATAACTCTAAACTTTTCATTATTCACCCTTGATAAAGAAGCTTCCAACAGCTCGGGAACGAATGTACTACACAGACTGCTAATTATTAGCTACTCCTGTCTGTGGATTGGAGGACCTTCTTACTTCTTTGTATTTTTCTTGTTTATTTGTTCAGGGGATAAGGGTGTCACAAACCAGGCCGATATTTATCACCAATCCCTAATTGCTTCGGGTGTAGTTAAGAGTCAAACAGATTCCCAAGGATCCAGAGTCACATGTATACCAGACCAAGTAAAGATAATTTCCTTCCCTATGGAACATGAATGAACCAGGTGGATTTTTACAACATTTGACAATAGTTACATCATTGTCATTAGGCTAGATTTTTTGTGATAGTAAAGGGGACTGTCAATACTGTCTGTCTGCTCTGACAGCTCTCCACTGAAAATAAAGCACTGACTTCTGAAATAATGGTGTGACAGAAGCATAGAAAATAAGGGATAGGGCAGACCATTCAGCCCATTGAGGCTGTTCCACCATTCAATATGGTCATGGCTGACCCTCTACCCTAATGTGATACTACTGCTCTCTCCCCATTTCCATTGACACCTTGGAGCAGGCTCAAGGAGTGGAATTGCCCACTCTTTCTCTTACTTCTTAGTTCTCATATTCTTGGTCTCTAGAAATCTATTGATTTATTTCTTGAATATATTCAGTGACTTAATCTCCACACACCATCAAATATAACCAAAATAAAAAGGACTGGAATTTGAACCTCCCAACTTCAACCACGCACGAGTTTTAAGGAAAATTTGTGCATTACATTGCAATAGTCCACTATTCGTTACTCAGTTCATGTTTTCAAGGATTCTTTTGTGCTCTCCCTAGTTAGTGATATGTTAATTGTCTTCTTTCCCTTCTTCACCTCTCCACTCCCTCGATTTATCAGGAAGAGCAAAATTTAGTCAGCCATGGTTCCATTCATTAAGTTCCCTTCCATGTGATTGGAGACTAGGATAAGATTATTTCAATCAGACTTTCAGTCCCTTAGTTCACTTTCATGAGTTGGTTGGGAGCTCAGTAACTCTTTCCCAGTGAAATCACAGTTTGATGTTGTATCCACAATCCTTGGTTTAGTAATCAAACATTCTGCCACATTGCTATCTTTGCTAGGCATATTGACAAACCAGTAGGATTTTCCTCCTTCAGGTACTCGATGCTACTGCATGGCAGACCTTCTGGACTTGCTGTTCTTTATGTGTGATTGCCTAAGGCAAGTGTGTGCTTTTTAAATTCATTGATGAGAGGTTGGTGTCACTGGCTTGGCAAGTATTTATTGCCCATCCCTATTTGCCCTTGAGCAGCTGGTGGTGAGCTGCCTTCTTGAACTGTGGCAGTCCATTTGTTGTAGGTACACCCACAATGCTGTTAGGAAGTCAGTTCCAGGATTTTGACCTAACAACAGAGATGGAAAGGTAATATATTTCCAAGTCAGGATGGTGAGTGGTTTGGAGGTGAATTTGCAGGTGGTAGTGTTCCCATATATCTGCTGCCCTTGTCCTTTTAGATGGTTGTGGTTGTAGGTTTGGAAGGTGCTGCCTAAGGAACTTTGGTGAATTTCTGCAGTGCACCTTGTAGATGGTATACTCTGCTGCTACTGAGCATCAGTGATGGAGGGTTTGGATGTTACTGGATGTGTGTGAAGGGCAGGTGGTGTAGTGTATGAAAGCTTGGATTGGGACTGATTATGTTTGCAGGATGGGATTCCAGTGAGATTCCAACTAGTACACAGCAGCCTACTTTTGTTAATAAGGCTATTCTGTCACTTCTGAGTGCAAAGTCAACACTTATAGAGGCAACCATTTAAAAATGGGCAGAAAATAAAACTCAAATGAAACAGGGTCAGGGCTCAGCCGTGGCCTGAAATGGTAAGAGTGTCTCAGGTTTGGGGAGAGAAAACAGCCCACCTAGGCTCCTTCTCCCTCTTTTCTCAGAAGGGGCTTTAAAGCAATGAATCATTTTTGAAGTGCATTCACTATTATACTTGTAGACAAACATCCCAATGAATTTGCACCCAAAAAATCCTACAAACAGCAATATGTGAGCTATGTTGTTAGGTGAGGGATAAATGTTGCCCATCAGTGAAACTCCTCTGCCCTCTTTGATAGGGCCACAGGATCTTTCATTTTCATCTGGGAAGAAAGGTGGAGCCTCAGTTTAATTCATTACAGAGAAAACAGAAATGTCACATCCCACACTGTAGCACTCCATCAGTACTGCACGAGGTTATGTGCTCAAGTCTTTAAGATGAGGATTAAACCCACAAGCTTCCAAGTCAGACCTAAAAATCATTAGGTCATTTAAGTCATCAGGTCAACTCCTGAGCCTTAAAAAAAGGTCTTAATTAAAACCAGTGGTCTGAATCAGAAGGTAACAATAAACCATTGTGAAATTGAGCCACTGGATTCAACACATAAAACATTCACCAAGTAACTGAGCTTCATTGTTACGAATGGCAATATCCCAAATGGAATATGACAGTCTTGTGATAAGCTGAATATTTATTCATTTTTTTTGAGACGCAGCATAAAATTGCTGATTACATTTAAATAGAATATTAAAGAATCGGTTTGTGATGGGGTCCTGTATGACTACAAGGTCTTGGATATGATAATGCTGCAAAACCAATGTTGACACAGGACATTTTGTGCCATGTTGCTCAGGTAGTGATGAAATAAAAAGCAAAAACATTTACAAATCAGATATAAGTTCATTCTGACTGAGATAAGAATCAAATTGTAGTATCTCTGCTCATAATGTGGTGGGATCTTAAACTCTTCTAGCTGCAGTCATGGTGGTGCACAAATTAGGGTCATAATAGTAAATATGAACCATGCTGTACACTGATACTGATAAATATTATCATTATCAAAAAGCCACAGTTCGGTTTCAATAGAGGGGAAAGAAGTCAAACAATCCTTTCCTGTTGTAATTTTATGTCAAAGTTTCGTAACTGCTTTAAAAACCCTCGATTGGGAAATATCCGTCGATGAGAAGCCACTGTCTTCACTGCATCAAGCAGAGAAAGGTGATGATAAATCATGAGGTAGGCCAGTACTAAGGAGACTGACCGGCTGTATCCAAAAGCACAGTGTACAAAGATCTTCCCTGTGGGCGAGAAAGCAACAAAATGCTGTTTTAAATTTCTGGACAAAATGTATCATTTTGCACATTGTAGCATCTTCTGTAACACTGTATTTATAACCTGGAATGTGACAGAACAAAACCACTTGCTAATTAGACACTGATGCAGGCGAGCCGTGGGAACTATTAACCAATGCCAACAGATGGAGTATGTCTCATGATTTTCATTTTGTTTTGTGACATAAACAACAATGTTTAAAATACAGGAGGTCAACATGCAGTTATATGGCTCCACATTGAATATTTCCTGTAGATTGACCCATTAAATCCAGGCAGCAAGTTTCCCAACAGGATGTTTTATAAGTGGAGCAGATTGAGTGAATATAACCAGTGGACACAGTATTTTAAAATCTATTCACGGGATGTGGGAATTGCTGGCAGGGGCAGCATTTATTGCCCATCCCTAATTGCAAAGAGGACAGTTAAGAGTCAACCACATTGCCGTGGATCAGGAGTCACATATAGGCCAGACCAGGTAAGGATGGCATATTTCCATTCCCTAAAGGGTATTAGTGAACCAGATGGGTTTTTACTGACCGACTGACTCTGGTTATGTGATTGCCATCAGGCTTGTATAAAGAAAACTAAACTCCAGATATTTTTTTTTCTCATTAAACTCAAATGTCATGAGCTGCTATGATTGAACACATTTTGCCAGGACATTAGTTTAGGCTTCAGGGTTATAGGTCCAGTCACATTATCACTACACCAGCTCCTCACCAATATCACCAGCTCACACTTGAAAGAGCAAGGTGGGAGTTAACTTTGCTTTCCCATCTCCAGCTCAATAGCTCACCCAAGAGGAATGACCATGTGGGCAACATACCAGGAGCAGCTGGTACCTGTGAAACTATGCCCAGCCAGAGGAAGTACAGAATGGAGTGGGGGAAAGATTGCACAGAAGTGGATCAGGATCAGAAACAAAAACATAAATTGCTTGAAAACCTCAGCAGAAGGTTTTCTTCCCACAGATGCTGCCAGACTTACTGAGTTTCTACAGCAATTTCTGTTTTTGTTTCAGATTTGCAGCATCTGCAGTTCTTAAATTCAATTATATTGGATCGGGATCTGGTCTGTGAAATCTTGTGAACGTTGTTGTAGTGCTCCCCCTGCCGACCAGTAGGTGATTAACAGTCACATTTCAATTACTGTACTTCAAAACAGTAGTGTCAATATATGTTTTAAAAATGTTTGTCCTTAAAATCAATGGTTATTCATACAAGTGTGACAGAATGGTTGTATCTAGGCCAGAATCCATACACTGTATGTCAACTCCTAAAATAGGGTTAAGTCTTCCGGGTGGTCTTGGGAATTGAGGAACACCAATATTGTGGTTGGACACTGGGAGAACATTCCTTCTCTTTTTTCAATGTGAACCACATGATCTTTCACCCCCGATCAGGCGGATAAATCTCAAATTAATATCTTTCATAAAAGATGCTCTCTCTGAGATTGCCATTCATGTTGTTAATTTTGACAGTCAATGGTTTAATTTTTTGTGCTTTTCTATTCCTTGTTGGATAGAACCTCACGTCCCTCCTACAATGTCGTCTGCCCTTTTTGACCCTGCTGTGCACTGTTTTCTGGTCCTGTGACTGTGTTGAAGTATCACAATTTCACTATAGGAGAGGTCGGTTAGTTTATGCTTTATAACAAGAGTAGCCAACATTCCAAATTATAACCTGAGTGTTCCTTTAAGTACGCAGCATCAAATTATTGACCCTTTCCTGAAATCCATTAGATTTTAATTGTTGTTAATCATGCCTTCAATTCCAGGAGTCAGGTTTGGTTTGGATTTAATTTACCGATTACTGAAATCAGTTTGATGTTGTGGCCTTTCGGTGTGGAACTTTCTAGACAGAATGGACATTTTATTCCCTTTATTGATACTGTTCTTTAAGGCCTGTGTTACCTACCAATATATGATAGTGTGGTGAGACTGGCACATCCCAAAACCTTTCTAAGTACGGTAGCCAAACAATGTGTCATGCTTACATACAAAATCTTAAATGCCACAGCTTCACAGTTTGCATCACTGTACTAAAATTGACAGCTAGCTCATTCGACAGTGAATAAGGTTTAATCCTACGAATAAAACACAAACTTGACGTTTAACTTCGTCCATAGAAATATGCAGCTTTGATTAATTACTCGTGAGTGCATGACTTGATCTTTTGTGAAGTCTATAAGTTTCCTACTGTTCGTTGAATCAAAACAGATTCTGAGAATAACAAAGCTTTTATTAAAATTAAAGTACAGTTGTTAATATTACTTTTTATAGCTTGAAATAAACTTCAAAAGAACTGGAAGTAGCAGGCGGAATCTGGATGAGACGTTTTGCATGCCAGCTGGAGACTCGCACTGTCTCTATTTGGGAAGGCTCACCAAACCACAAGCCAATTAAGCAGTGGCAAGGCCAGTGATAGCACCCCCTGGGGTTGAAAGTGTTACCTACCGAGGGCCGCCAGTCAGTCAGTCAGAGACTGAGATAACACCGTGTAGAGCTGGAAGAGCACAGCAGGTTAGGCAGCATCAGAGGAGCAGGAAGGTTGATGTTTCAGGTTGGGACCCTTCTGCCTGGCCTGCTGTATTCCTCCATCTCCACACTGTGTTATCTCTGACTCCAGCAGTTCTTGCGATCTCTGAGTCAGAGACTGAAAGCTCTTTTGAAGTACTGGGGGCAGGGAGTTGTGCAGGGTGGAGGTCATGAGCAAAGGTGTTCAGGTGGATCTGCTGAAATGTCAAAAATGTCAGAAAACAAGGCAGTTGTTTCGGTAGATAGATTTGATTCACTATTCAGTCTTACCTATTTTTCTAATCACCCTGTTCAGAGATGTTATTATACACCTTTAGAGCTGGTGGGGCTTGAACCCAGATCTTCTGGCTCAAAATAGGGTCACTACCAGTGTGCCACAAAAGACCACATTCCCACTCAATAACTACCCAGTCAATCAATGAATCAATGATTAATCCCAAACGCGTACTCAACTCCTTGCTAAATTACAAACTTCCCTCGTCTCTTTAAATAAAATTTTTGAAAATATATAATTATTAACTAAAACTAATGTAAATTAAGATAACCTATAAAAAACAATTTTTCTTCGTATTCCATACAATGCAATCAACAATTCATATTTCCCCTTTTTTCTTTAAACCATCAACAGCAACATTTTTAGTCACAAACAAACCTAAACACAAGCTGTTTTTTTTAAATGTTCCTTTAACTCCTCATACCACCTGGCATCCATCTTTGAGGTTCTTCAGTAATTTCGTGGAGTAAGCACTTCTATGAAATAATCTAACAACTGGTGATTTGCAACAGCCCATATTATTTTGGAAATCCTTTTTCTTTCTAATATTTCTTTGATGCTAGAAGGCTGATCCTCAACATTTTCTCAGTGATGCCCTTTGTCAAATGTACCTTGTCCCAAAGAGAACAGTTGTCCACATAACGTTCTATGGGCAGACTTTTCTGAGATTGCGTCTTGCATTTCCTTTAGAACATTGTTTATGTATGTCCCTGTATCTATACCTTCTTCTAATGCCAATATTTCAGCAGCTAAGATACTTTTAAATCCTATAGTTTGGCTTCTGAGAAAAATGGACAACTTTTATTGTTCTTTCTTCCTGAGACTATGATAGATGACCCTGCTGTACTGAGGTAGCCATTCTAAAGACTGGAATACACAGCATCATTAAAACGGATTAACATTATATTTTCTATGACACCGAAGGCTGTGAGATTTATTGTACATTTTTCTGAATTTAATTTCTTGAATGTTTTATTCACTCTTTAAAAACTTCCTCAACAGTAGCCTGTTTCATTATAGTACTGAATTCCAATATATTATGGCTGGAGTCTAGTTCAGAACTAGAACTTCATCTGCAGATGCCTACTAAACAGACAACAACAAGAGGACACAGTACACCCTAACACACTGGCCACACTGCCCAACATCAAGAACATATCAGAACTGACAACAAGACTCCTAAGACCACTAGGAATCATGTGGCACACAAGCCACTCTACAACAAACACTCACAAGGATTAAAGACTCTATTTCCACAACATGCAGAACCAACGTAGTTTACAAAATACTATGCCACACCTGACTGCCACAAGCATTACATCAGACAGACAGGAAGGAAACTAGCCATCAGAATACATGAACATCAGCTAGAAGCAAAACGACATGACGAACTTTCCCTAATATCAGTACACTCGGACAGTGAAGGCTATCAGTTTAACTGGGACAATGAAACCATAGCAGCCCAAGTCAAACATAGATGTGCACGGGAACTCCTAGAGGAACGGTTCTCAACCCATAATTCAATCAACAAACATATAGAATTGGACCCTATACAAACCCATAGAGAACAAAACCGGAAACGACACTGCTCACCCTAACGGACCAGACAGTATAAATTCCAAGTGGAGTAGAATAACATCGCTTCATCGGAGGCCCCACTGATGATGTTACCTAGCATGGTGACGAAATGTCTGAACGAGAACAAGCCAGCTCGGTGAGCAAGTCAACAACCTCACCCACAACCTGAGCTACAAATCTTTGCTAAAACTTTAGAAAGTTTTTGAGCTTTTTTGAGCTCCTGGGAATGACAAAACTGCATTAAAAGCTTTTGACATTCAAACATCTTGATGAAAATCATGAAGAATTGATCAAAGTGAGGTTTTTTTAACAACAGAACTAACTCATCAACAATTGGGACAATCTACTTTTTCAGTACAGCGTAACCATTACAGAAATCCACTATCATTTGGATTTTCTGCTTTTTGGGTAATTGTCCCATCTGTGTTTGTGTTTTTACAAATTGACTACTTAGTCTTAAATTAACATTTGAATATTGAGCCCGTGGTTACAGTGAAGTCACATTTTACATTGCAAACTATTACAAGCATTGAACTTCAACAGCCAAGGGGCACATTGTCAATCAGTCTTTTCTTTAGCATTAATAGTGAATGTAATTAAGGCTGTTTTGGGGTAGAAATGAATTCTGCTTTGTTGTAAATCCAGCCATATATTTTCTGTTGTACACAACTGTTGCATGGTTTATGAAGCACAATTTTTTTGACAGGACCTGCTGTATCAAAGTCTGCTGTATGTATCCTAACTAAGTCCCATCCACCCATCACATCCACATTGCTTCCTGGTCCTCTATGACCTCAGTTTTAAAATTTTTGTCCTTGGTTTCAAATCCGTCCTTTGCCTCAGCCTTGCCTACCTCTGTAACCACCTCCTGCCCTTCCCCAAACACACATCCAAGATATCTGCAATCCTCTAATTCTGGTCTCCTGCATCCCAATTTCCTTCACTCAATCATTGATAGCCATGTGGCTAGCTGCCCTATGCATCCCAAATTCACTCTCTAAAACTTTTCTTTAAGATGTTCCTTATCCTTAACTCTAATCAACTGTTGTTTGCCTGTCCTGGTATCTCGAAATGTGGGAACCATTGTGAGAGATGGATTTTAGCCTTCAGGAGTCTGATTCAAGCACAGGTAGTCTGTAAATTGGGGAGGGGGTCTTGTTTTACTTATTAAGAAACAACTCCAATGCCCTTTCTTTCAACTAATTCTAACGTCCAAAATTTGCCACTTTTGTGCCACAGGTATGACCAGATCATATAGAAGGCTGTTTAAACTCAAAAGGTTCCTGAACATACACTTCCAGAAGAGATCACTGAATATATATTATCGATGGTGACCCAATTGGACAGGCAGTGCCGTAGTGGCAGTGTCTGTCCTAATAGTCCAGAATCCTGGATTGACATTCCGGGGACATGGGTTTGAGTCCCACCATGTCAGCTGGTGAAATCTGAAATCAATTAAAATCGGAAATAAAAAGCTAACCTAATGGCTACCACGTAACTACTATTGAATATTGTCAAAGCTCATCTGGTTCATTTGGTCCTTTAGGGAAGGAAACCTGCCAACTATACCTGGTCTGGCTTACATTTGACTCTGCACATACAGCAATGTACCCTCTGGACAAGTGAGGATGAGCAGTAAATTCTGGCTTAGCCAATGATGTCCACATCCCGTGAACAAACGAAAAAGAAATTTTCCTGTACTTACCCAAATTGGTAAAGCCAAATGTGGAACTCCTGATAGATGTATAAATTTAGCACTGACTGATTCTAGGAAGTTAGGTATGAGGATAAAACCTAGGACTACATATAGTTCAGTTTGAACAACATTATCCACAGCATCTCTTTTTATTATCTTTGTAATGCAATTAAGATTCAAGCCAGCTTATAGGACTATTTGACATGCTAGAATGGTCTCTTACCTCCTAATATATCGACTGCCTTATGTATATAGTCACTTGCAGAATAGAAATAGGCAGCAATGTCAAAATTTGGTACGTCATGAGCTGCAATACCATAATAATCCACACTGGGACCGTAGAAATCTTGGCATCCACTGGACGCAACCTGTTTGTGTGCCGCATTTAACACATGAGTGATACCCAACTTCCAAAGGTGAAATCTGTCATGAGCTATTGTCCTAATGAAGCAAAAGATATTATAAAATACTTCAAGAATGCACAAACATGTTTACAATGTTATTGGATTATCCTTCTCTGTACAGTTGGCGAGGGGTTGTGCTTGTCAATGTCAGGGAAGCCACTTATGAAAATGGTTCAGTTTTCCCAATTTCGACCCAATTGTGTCAGCATCAAACTGGCACTCCTCAGGTGCAGTATTCCTTTTACGCTCACCAGACCACGTTACCAAATATTCTTCCTTGTACCAGTTAGGATTTTTCTGAGGATGAAGCAGAGATTTACCAGAATGATCTTACAGTGAGAGGTTCTAGCTTGAATGGAGGTTAGATTAGAGAAGGTGAAATTGGTCTGCATGGAGCACAAGAGATTGACAAGTTCTTTGATAGTGGAGTCCAGAGGTTATGATGGGCTTGGATAAGGTAAACAAGGAAGACCATTCCTGAAATGATGATGCAAGGACTATGGGATACAGATTAAATGTTTTGTGTGGGGAGTGATGCAAAGAAGAACTCTTTTACTCAGCCAGTGTAATAGTCCATGGGCACAGGTGACAAATGATTATAGAAGGAAGTTGGACGGGATCTTGAAGGGAATAAGTTTGAAGGGAATAGGCTACAGGGATGGAATGGGGAATGGAACCTACTGGATTACTGTACGAAAAGTTTGCATAGATGTGATGGACTAAACAGCATCTTTCTCTGCTGTAATAACTATATAATTCTGTATCATCATAGTTTACCGGCTATTTGAAGGAATGTCAGTTGGTCTTAAGGTCTCCACAGCCAAAAGGGAACCGTTTTAAAAATGTCAAGCGATCAGCACACCAGTCTGGATTGAATCAATTCAAGTCTTGGAGCTAAAACAATTGTCCTAGTTTATTCTTACACTCGACACATGATTCAAAGTGTTTAGTGTAATGTTTCAGCTCTCTATCACCCATGACACTCCTACTTTGTTGAAACATAAGTTTGCAGGTTGCGGTTCATTGGTTAAGCAGCAAACCAGACACTTCCCATCTGTTGTTGTATTTATTGTTACTTTTGCAGCCTGGTGTTCCCTTACTCCCTTTGACATACATTAATTATAAGAATACTCAAGTAATTACTCAAGGAACCTCAGGGAATCATTAATTTACTTATCTCTCAGATGCCGAGTTAAGAAAAAAAAATTCCTGAAATGTAACTCCACTGAAGGATGCAAACGTCCAGCTAATGTTGAGGGTTGTACAAAAATGTTTTGTCACATCACGGAGGCTCAGTGGTTAGCACTGCTGCCTCACAGTGCCAGGGACCTGGGTTCGATTCCAGCTTCAGGCGCCTGTTTGTGTGGAGTTTGCATGTTCTTCCTGTGTCTGTGTGGGTTTCCTCCGGGTGCTCCAGTTTCCTCCCACAGTCCAAAGATGTGCAGGTTAGGTGGATTGGGCATGCTAAATTGCCCATAATGTCTTGGGTGGGAAATGCAGGGATAGGGTAGGGGGTGGGTCTGGGTGGGATGCTCTTCAGAGGGACGATGTGGATTCAATGGGCTGAATGGCCTGCTTCCACACTGTAGGGATTCTACAATCCTCACCTCACCTCCATCCTGCCAGCTTCAGCTGATCAGAAACAATAAGGGCTGCTGATGCTGGAAGCTAGAGTCAATAAATGTGGAGCTGAAAAAGCACAGCCCGTCAGACACCATCTGAAGGGCAGGAAAGTCAACGTATTGGGCCGAAACCTTTCGTCAGGACTTGGGAGGGGGAGGGGAGCCCAGAAATAAAGAAGGAGGGGGGCGGGGCCCATGGGAGAATGAGTGAAATGGAGATAGGTGGATGCAGGTAAGGGATTATTGTGGTTGGTCAGTGGGAAGGGTGGTGTGGATAGGTGAGTAGGAAGATGGACAGGTTGAGGGTGGAGAGATTTTGAAGCTGGTGACGCAGATAGGGGGTAATTGTAGGGGGCAAAGGGATGTTTAACTCCCCCTGCTGGTGAGAAGAGAGTTGCTGGGCAGGTAAAATGGGAAGGTTTCGCTTCTTGTTCCATTCTTGCCATCTCTGATTTTGAATGTATTGATTGAACCAGCAGGTGAGGTGCCCTGCAGTTTGCCTCAGACATAAATGTCTATTCTGGTCCTAAAATGTTGGAAGGACAATGATTGCCTTGTAACTGTGGCCCACGTGGGAAAGCGACTGTGGCTATTGCACTAAGCTGAACAGAAACGGATCTTAAAATCTTTCAGGAGCAAACTACTTCAGATGCTGGAATCTCTATTGAAAACAACAAATGCTGGAAATCACAGCGGGTCAGGCAGCATCCATGGAGGGAGAGCAAGCTAACATTTCCAGTCTAGATGACTCTTCATCAGAGCTGACGTGAAGTGATGAAGTGACTTCATGTCAGCTCTGCTAAAGAGTGTTAAAATTTTTTGTTTGCATTCTGTTTTAGCCCACAATACTGGTACTAAAAGTTCAAAGAAAACGTGTCTCAGGATTGGATAATTTAGTAAAAGATTAAGCTAACCATACAGTGAGAATTCAGAAGCCTTGAAATAACTTAAATGACCCCACCAGCATACAACCAAACAGCTTGAAGTTTAGTGGGAGAGATAGTAGGAACTGCCGATGCTGGAGAATCTGAGATAACAAGGTGTAGAGCTGGATGAACACAGCAGGCCAAGCAGCACCAGAGGAGCAGGAAAGCCGACGCCTCGGGCCCAGACCCTTCTGAGGCGTCAGCTTTCCTGCTCCTCTGCTGCAGCTTGAAGTTTAGTGATAGATTTGACAAGCTGGAGACATTTTAGCTTCTCTTACCAGCCCACTCTGTGCCACCCGCTCCTCACATGCTTTTGTATCATCAATGTTACTGACCTTGCCAACAGTGTTTCTGCTGTTTGAAGAAGTACTTACATATCTCCTATGTATAGACTAGGCCAGACCTCGTCGATGCAGCTGAGCGGAACCCTGTTATGGCGTAAGATTTCCTCCAGCTCCATGACTGTAGGCGTTTTGGCATTTGGGCTGGAATTTTTGGAAAAACTGGGATTGCCACCGGTTTGATTTGCCTCCTTTGACATCACTATGATATAGGTTTGTTTAGTTACTTTTGTGGTTCTGAAGGACTGCTCCCAGTTGACTGTGTGGAGTTGCTCCCTGCCAGTTTTTGGACCATCTCCAGATGATATGATGTATATCAGCAGGTGCACATACTGAATCTGCTGAGCAATGATATATTTTAATTCAGTAGCTCATTCGATCTTACGGGTGCCAAAATAAAACACCATGAAGCAGACAATGAAAGTCAGATTAAGTCAACAATTTTCAACAAGATCCTCGTATTTTCAGTTTGGTAACAAAATATTGGTGCAAAGTTCTCTCAGAGATAGGGAGAGGAATTGTATTCTGGTGGCATGATTGGAGGCAGGGAGTGTATTCAATCAGTTCCCCCCATGAGTTCCCACTTCCATCAAAATGAAATTTGGGTCAGGAAGGCCTGTCATTGGATTTCCCAATGTCTGTCAAATGGGACCGTTAAGTGGACAAGTAATGAGCTTTGTAAGAGCCTTGTCTCTGCTACAGCAGAGTTGGCATCCTGGAGTGTGTCATGCACAGCTGGTAAAACAGTGCAGGATGCCAATGATCACCTGGAAGCCTCCCTCATCAAAGACACTCATTTGACTAATTGAGGGCTCCAGTATTGAGTATTGAGGGTGGGGGTGATGGGACAGCTGAGACCCACTCTCTCGACATGCTGCCAACAGCCCCAACTCTACTGCCTGTAACACCTACCCTGTGAAAACCCTTCCTGTCATGAGTTGGCGAGGGTTACTCATCATTCCTTGGCCTCTGGTGATGGCAGCAGCCATTTCAGTCACACGCACACACTCACGCATGCACACTTGCATGCAAGCGCACGCACGCACACACACACGCACACTCGCATGCATGTGCGCACACACAAACACAAACACACTCACGCACGCATACTCGCATGCAAGCGCACGCGCACACACACACAAGACACAAATATTTCAGGTGAGGAAGAAACAAAGAAGGTCCATTAAGCACACTTCTGGCACCAGACCAGATTCCAGGCATTGCTGAGATGTTTTCCTTCAGTTTCCTTTTCGTTCTTTTTGACTCCTTGCTAAGGACATGGAGTTGTGCAACCATAATTCTCAATTTACCATTGAGGATTCACTCTTTCAGAGTCCTTGAAGGTGTTTTTCCTTTTTTTTTCTCAAGAGGCTAATTTGTAAGGAAAAAAGAGAGGAGCCAGCTGCTTGGAATTTTGTTTACTTCTCCACTCACAGAAAAGAGAGGCAGATGGATGATTTCTGCTTCATGGGCTGGATATTACTGCTGTATTGTCCAAACACAAAACAATAGCCATTCGCCCAGGACTCAATCAAGAAATTGTTACTATGCTGAGTTCTCCTCAGCACACACAACTAATCCAAAGCTTGTACCTGTGCAAATTTTCCCCGACATGCACCTTGGAACTGAGGTGTCAAGGAGTCTCCTGAGCACTTGAATAAGGCAACATTCAATCAGTAAAGTTTGTGAAGAAACATAAATGATTTTTTATGGCAAAAATATACTTTATTCATTAAATTTTTTCTTTATGTACATATGGGGTGGGGGGGGAGGGGTGCTGGTGTAGGTGGGTACTAAAGCAGTTCTATACCTTGTTTGCATATAAAGAGCAAACAAAGATTGGAATTTGACTTTCCCTGCAGTTGTGACAGGCCAAAGGCATTTCTTACTCGTGCAGAAGCTATATACATACATTTGAGGCAGAGAGAGCGTTTGATAACTGAACAAACCTTGTTGAATTTTAACAGAAAGATCTTAGACAGTGGTCTTCCCCCACAGCTGCCCCAAGCTTTACTGCGTCCCTCAGCACATAGTCCTGGACCTTGGAATGTGACAGTCTGCAACACTTGGTCAGGGTCAACTCCTCTTTCCGAAAGACCAACAAGTTCTGGGCAGACCAAAGTGCGTCTTTCACCGAGTTGATGGCCTTCCAGGCAAAGTCAATGTTTGTCTCGGCTGTGTCCTGTAGACTGTAGAGCAGAGAGTCTTGTGACACAGAGCTGCTTGGTACGAACCTTAGCAAAAACCACTGCATTTCTCCTGACCTTCTTTCCGTAGGAATATTCCAGGAGATGTGTGACACTCTCTCCACCACCATGACCCCCGCAATTTCGAGGGCAATATGCGGTGGCAGAGAGAGTCTGGGTGTAGATGAAGGATCTCACAGGTAATGCCATTCTCATCACCAGCCAAGCTACATCTTGGTGTACAAATGATGAGATGGCAAAACAGCAGTCTACCCCACTGAGCTCATTAATGATTCCTCAACTGAAGTCATTCAGACTGCAACAGATTTGATGATGACTGACATGAGCCTGATGTTAGATGCTGAGAAGATGCAAAATCAAGCAAAACATTTTATTCCTGTCACTTCCCAAGAAAAATGCTCAGTGCTGGTGACAGAGATCATGCCTGGCAAAAAACAATCCTCAAGGAGTATGATTGTAAAAAAAAATGTTGGTTTCACCAGTAATGCAATTACTGTAAGTGAATGAAAGTGTCCAATGTAACGCTCAGTTGAAGTATAGACTCTATAAACTTCAGCACATTTACTGGCAGATTGTGACTAAACGTGTGCACACACAGGGGAGTGATGGCCTAGTGGTATTATCACTGAACTGTTAATCCAGAGACTGAGGTAGTGTGCTGGGGATTTGGGTTTGAATCCTGCCAAGGCAGGTGGTAGAATGTGAATGTAAAAAAATATGGAATTAAGAGTCTAATGATGACCATGAATCCATTGTTGATGGTTGGGAAAAACCCATCTGATTCACTAATGTCCTTTAGAGAAGGAAACTGCCATCCTTGCCTGGACGGGCCTACATGTGACTCCAGACCGACAGCAATGTGGTTGACTCTGAACTGTCCTCTGGGCAATTAGGAATGGGCAGTAAATGCTGCCTAGCCACTGATTCCACATCCCATGAATGAATTAATTAAAAATACAGATTGAAGAGTGGTACACACAATTCCATGGAAGTTACCAATGAGATCGGATAACCAAAGTCCACAGATTTAGGACACAGTCAAAAGAAATTGCTTGGTTCAGAGAACCAGGACATTGTCAAACAAAAGAAAGTTACTTACTTCAGAGATCCAAGGTGTTGCAAAAAAGAAAGAACCTGTTTGAACTGGACAGTTATCCTCTGCAAAGGAAATCAAGAGATTAAAGGTCTTCTAGATATTATTACGAAGCTTAGGCCAGTATCCTGTCAACAAGTCACCCTTTATTTACACGTAGAGAGTCCTTGACTCTGATCCAGCTCCCTCAGAGCCAGCTCTCAGAGTGAGCAGATGTCTGACACCCCTGTCAGTCAGGGCTCCCTGATTGGACCAGATTAACAGCCACAATCAGGGAACTCATATTCTATGAGGTCCACCTGGCTGACATTGTTACAATCACTACAGGAGCAATTGTGTGTTTCAGCAAGAAAGATGTCCTGAGTGAAGGAAATCCAAGAGATAAAATGTCCAAAGAGTTCACAGATGTGCAGGTTAGGTGGAATAGCCATGGCAAATACAGCCTTACAGGGATAGGGTAGGGGCATGGGTCTGGGTGGGATGCTCTTCAGAGGGTTGGTGTGGACTCAATGGGCCAAATGGCCTGCTTCCACACTGTAGGGATTCAATGAAAATGTCTCCCAGCTTACAGGGAGTTACAGACTTTCCACTGACAAGAATAGAATTAAAAATGACAGTTTTCAACACAGAGACCTATCAATTGTCTGAGCTCAAACAGAATGCATTCTGGCAGAATAATGAAACTTCCAGATCACCTGATTTTGTGAAGTTAGAGAGTTGAGAGGAGATGGGGTAGAACTAAATATAATTGTGTACACAAATGTATAATATGCATGTGGGTGAAAAACTTGGGGGAGATGTGTAAAGGTGTAAGGGTCTAGAAAGGTTCATGCTGAGGTGTATGTTAAGCCCTGCCCTGTCACATAGATGCAGGCAGGGGACCAGCTTTGGATCTTGAAGGAGTAAGACATAACATTGAAATCCCTCTCCGTCTCAGTAAGAATACCTGTCATATCGATGTAACTTGTACTGAGTTGCTTTAATGAAATAAACTATATCTTGTATAAGATAAAAGGCATTTCTCATTCGACTACCAAGTAGTTCTCCTCTACTACATGCAACCAAACAGGCCCTGTTGATTCCTACCAGGAAACAGGGTACACTATGATGAAAAAAGATTAATCTTATAACACTTCCCTCCTCCTCAGCTCAGGGATCAGACACCTCCCGAATTGGATCAAGCCCTCCCTCAGGGTAGAGATTGAGCCACCTCCATGCTTGCACTATCTATGAGCCTCTGTAACTGCAGACTCTGTACTTGCAGCTCTGCCCTGCTCCCCATCTGACTGGAAACCAAGTCTGTCAAATTTCGTTTTCTTTTGGGCTGAGATCATATCAGAAGAATAAGCCTCATTCTGTATCGTCAGACTACACAGCATCTGAGGAATTCCATGTATCTGGACTGAGACTCTTTCCCCATCACATTTTTTAGGCGCAGGATCAATGGTTTTGAGTTACTTTCCTTCAATGACAACATCACAGCTCGCTGACTGAAAACTTTCTACACATGATTCCATCATCCTTTTGAAAGTCACCACGTTCAGGGAGAGCCATAGGCTGCTCTGGCATTAGAGCTTAACCTGAGCATCACCACATTTCAAGTGAGGTTTGGGAAGGCAGGGCCTTTACTGTAATTTCAACCGGTACAGGAAATCAACCCAGGCTGTTGGTGTCACTCTGTTGCGAATCAGCCATTCAGCCAACTGAGCTAGTCAAACCCCATGTCTCATTGATGAGTTAAATTGACTCAAGCCTTCAATTATCCAGTCACCCAATTTCCTAACTCCGCCAAAGTGAGTGATTGTGTGCTGTTTCTTTACTTCACTAAAGTTGGCATTCTATAAGCTAATGTTCCATGTGTTTAATTACAAAGTAATGATACAGTCCGAACAACTTGTGGAGGCACATTACTGCCTCCCTTAGACTATTTACACATTTTCCAAACGTTTAGAAATTTAATCTTGGATTATAGATCCTAAAGCCGGAGTTTAACTCAAATCTATTCAATAAGAAAAGGTTAAACTTGGTGTCTGAGAGTCTGTTTCTTGTTAGGCAGTTTATCCCCACCTCATATCTGGATGAGTGATATTACATTGGCAGCCCTCAATCCCCATCACAGTTTGCATTATAAATGACAGGGAAATCCTGTCTTCCAATAGAATGTAATGCAAGCTATAAGACCATAAGACATTGGAGTAGGAATTAGGCCATTCAGCCCATTGAGTCTGCTCCACCATTCAATCATGGCTGATAAGTTTCTCAACCCCATTCTCCCGCTTTTTCCCTGTAACTCTTAATCCCCCTGACAATCAGGAACCCATCTATCTTCGTCTTAAACATACTCAATGACCTGACCGCCACAACCTTCTGTGGTAGTGAATTCCATAAATTCACCGCTCTCTGGCTGAAGTAGTTTCTCCTTATCTCCATTCTAAAAGGTCTTCCCTTTACTCTAAGGCTGTACCCTCGGGTCCTAGTCTCTCCTAACAATGGAAACATCTTCCCAACATACACTGTCCAGGCCATTCAGTATTCTGTAAGTTTCAATTCGATCCCCCTCATCCTTCTAAACTCCATTGAGTATAGACCCAGAGTCCTCAAATGTTCCTTATATGTTAAGCTTTTCATTCCTGGGACCATTCTCGTGAATGTCCTCTGAACCCGTTCCAGGGCCAGTACATCTTTCCTGAGATATGGGGCCCAAAACTGCACACAATACTCTAAATGTGGCCTGACCAGAGCCTTATAGAGCCTCAGAAGTACCATCTCTCAGATTTACATCACTGCTTTCATATTCAAGTCCTCTCAAAATAAATGCCAAAGTTGCATTTGCCTTCCTAACTACTGACTCAACCTGCAAGTTTATCTTGAGAGAATCCTGGACTAGAACTCCCAAGTCTCTTTGCACTTCAGACTTCCAAATTTTCTCCCTATTTAGAAAATAATCCATACCTCTATTCTTTTTACCTCACACTTTCCCATGTTGTACTTCATCTGCCACTTCTTTGCCCACTCTCCTCACCTGTCCAAATCTTTCTGCAGCTTCCCTGCATCCTCAATAATAACTATCTTTGTATCATCTGCAAACTTAGCCAGAATGCCCTCAGTTCCTTCATCTAGATCATTAATGTATAGAGTGAAAAGTTGTGGTCCCAACACTGACCCTTGTGGAACACCACCTTTCACCGGCTGCTATCCTGAGAAAGACCCTTTTAACCCCACTCTCTGCTTTCTGCCAGAGAGTCAATCTTCTATCCATGCTAGCACCTTGCCTCTAACACCATGAGCCTTTATCTTACTCAGCAGCCTCCTGTGCGGCACCCTGTCAAAGCTCACACTGTAAAGTGGTACTGAAGGGCTCCTTCATATAAAACCTGAAACTGAGAGTATATTTGCTTCCTCAGGTGGCTGGACGTTAAATGGTCTCATAACACGATTCGAAGAAGACCAAAGGTCACTTTCTTGCTAATCATTGGTCTCTATTTTCTTTCTACATCACTTTTCCCTTTGGTCCTGTAAAACTAACTCCTTTGTCATTCAATCTCTCCAGTTGTTCACCTCTCACTGATCCTCCTCTTGTCCTGCGGTTAGTGCAAAGTACGCGAGCAAACAAAACTTTGCAATCAAACTCCTGATCATGGCTTATCTTCGTCATTGCGCCCTCCTGCTACACCTGCAGCTCCCTCGGGGCTTGTTGTCCCTCCGCTTCTGCAGATGGCGCTGTGTCTTGAGTTCACTCTCCGAGTTGTGCGAGACTTGTTATCCCTCCGGTGCTGCAGGTGGCGCTGTACTTGGGGTTCCCAGTGGGTGTTGTGCAGTATTTCTGGCCCTCCGGTACTGCAGGTGGCGCTGTACCTGGGGGTCTACTCTTCGAGTTGTGCGGGGCGGCAGGGGACGCTGTGATATGTTGTACGTGTGGGAAGGCGACGATGAGGTGGAGTTTTCCCTGAGTGTTCATCTGACATGGGGGTCGGGCTCCGGCGTTAACAGAAGAAGCAGTATCTGCTCCTGACACGGAGCGGGTCTATGCGGGTAAGTAACAGCTACTAAGGGTGTTTTAAGTTCGTATTAGCGGGACTGTTGTCAAGGCCCAGTTGTGAGGGTCCTCAGGGCTGCAGCCAGACCCAGAGCTCCAGCGCTGGTTGTACTGCTCCCCCTGAATGCCTAAGCGACACTGTCTGTTTACTGACAAACCTTTACCAAATAAAAACCCCACCTTATGTTCTGTGCGAAACAGATCAATAAGAAATCAGGCCAGTTTATTGCATTTAACGTATCTGGCTGAGGATCAGTGAAACCTAGCACAGATACAATACTACACCAATGAGGAAACAAGTTTTAGGATCTGTTCCCATTTGATCCGGTTCCAGCGAGTAGATGAATTTCTGGACATGAATTGATTCATCTCTCTTTCTCTCATATGTAATATATAATAAGCACACTAATTGTCTATTGTATGAAATGGAAACGGTAGGTTTGCTATTGTTACAATGCAGTAGCCTAGATCGGATACTACTTGATGGTAATACACACAAATTAGTGTTTGGCAAGTTTGGGTTTTGATTTGGGTTGGCTGGGCAGAGTCACTAGTAGACATACTTCTGAAAATTAAATCATACGGAGTTGTGTAACGTTAGCGTTAACATTTTTCAGTGTTAGACTTCACTTTATTGCAGTGAAACCTTTTCTAAGACTAACATTTCATACATTTGAACATTAGTTACTTTAAAATTCATATTCTGACAGACTATTTAAACATTAAATGGGCAAACTCTCACATAGTCAAATCCAGATTTTTTTAATGTTCTTTATTTTTTCCTGGGCCTAACAGTACGGTCTGCTGGAAGGGTTCTGGTACAGTTTATAGTTTACAGCAAAATAAACAAGACAAGTGCAGTCCACCTGACTAATCGTGGAATATAGGCAACACAATATCCCACGCCAGGTGTTATGTCCCTGTCCACATATTCATTCAGCCCCTTTGAATTATGCAGCACATTGTGCTGAGGCTTTTAATAGTGTTATGTTGTGAGACTATTGGAGAGCTCCAATCTCTACCCCACTTCAGGCAGTCACACCTGCCAGAATAACGTACACGATCTGAAATCAGAAAATGAGCTGCAGTCAGGGGGAAATCTGAATAGACCACTGGGAAAGTTTACTCAATTTCTCAAAAATTGCATATTTAAGCCAGGAAATCATGGGCCATGATGCTCAAAAGTACATGTTTCAGTCACTTACAATGATAAAAAACACTTGAATGGACTATAGGATGATTAACTATGTTGCAGCCTATTTAGAATTGCTAATATACATTTGTGTTAACAGTCTATCATTGGAAAAAAGGATTCAACAGTAGAGTTATGGCAAACTGAGAGAACTGGCATCATAATACCATTTTCTCTGCAAATTGGCCAGGGTTCTTAAGCTGTGAGGGCCAACATTTTGATCAACGTTAAGTAATGGTGTGTTTCATTCCTCAAGAAGCTTCGTCATGAGCTTCCTTATTCTGACTCATGATCATGACTTAAGGCTTGTGATGTGTAAATGACATACAGACTTTAGATCTTTCATCACCGTCCTTTACTGTGGTGTACAGGAATAGATTGGCCAAAACCAAATGTGGCTGTTTCTGCGCATGCTGACCAGTGTTATGAAAATGTTGTTAAGAAATTTTACTGCTTTGAAAAATAATAATTTGAAAAGTATTTCCAGAAGTTGGAAAGCAATGAATCAATGTAAGCAGCTGCTTGAGGTTTGCACTGAGCATCCTTTATCAGTTGACTCTGGAGCAAGTAAACTAGTGCCATATTGAAAGTGAACCAGTTGGATGCCTATAGATGTGACAGATCATTTAAGAAAACACTCCATTCCCTCCTGCTTCCCTAACCTCTCGTACATCCCCGCCCTCCAAAATTGCTTGCAAAGATGTGTGTGTCATGGTGCAGGTAGAATGCCAAGAGGTTACACAATCTGTACTTTATATTCTTAATTTATTCTTTCCAGTCCAAAGTAATCTACTGTGTAAATGAATAAATGTGACAAAGCTTCCTCCCATTCATGGGCTATTGTAAAAAACAGCTGATCCTGCCTAATATTTTGGGCTTCTAAAGTAGGGAGTACAGGGAGATAAATGAGAGTGGCTATGATGACAGCATATTTTATTTCTTGCAAAACATGCACTTGAACAAGAGAAATCTGTAATATGATACTTATTAGTATAGAAGCAACGTTACCAGTAATTGCATTTTGTGTCACTTATTGTAATGTCTTCTTTGTCTGTAATTTGTCAATCAGTGGCAGCTCTGTAGGAATAATTAAATTGGATACTAGGAACTGGAAAGGGTGAAATAAGAAAAGGGGAAAAAACTTAGTGCAGATTTGGGGTTTGATTCTGAATGTATAGTGTTATACAAGAAATAACAGAAGCAAGAGAAGATAATCTGCCTGTTTGGTCTTCTATATGATTGTAGCTGCTCTTCAGCTACAACTCCAGTCTTTTGTCCACTCTCAATTCCTTGATTCCCTAAGAGACTATACATCTGTCTATCTAGTGTTAAATATGTTTCCAAACAAAGAAGGTAGAAGCAGAAGTAGGCTATTTGGTCCCTTGTGCCTGCCATCCTGCTAATCAGAAAATTATGGCTGATCTGTTTGCATTTAGGATTCCATATTCCTGTCTACCTCCAGATAACCTTTGATTCACTTACTTAACAAGAATAGATCTTCTTCTGTTTTGAAAATATTCAATGACCCTGTCTTTAACACCTAAGACCCAGGGAATGTTCTGGGAACCTGGGTTTGAATCCTGCCATGGGAGATGGTAGTATTTGAATTCGGTGGCAGATGGCAGGAGAGAAGGAATTGATGGTGGAAGATACAAAGGAACAAAAGATACCACGTCACCAGGGTAGCCACAACCCTGTGCTGGCTCAGGGCCTCTGCCACGTATACTAGGAGAGCCATATACAAGTGAAAATACAGACCATTTGAGTCGAAGATTGAGAAGCAGTTGAAGGAAAATACCCCCTTTTCAATGACCAAGCTTATTGGAGGAGACAAAAATAGTGGTTCCCATGTCATCAAAATCTGCAAAATGCTATTACCCCACTGAAGATGTCCTTCGCAAAGGAGTATCCATTGGTAACAAACCTTTCAGCCAGCACAAAACGGATCTTCGTGCATCTGTCAACTGTATGCTTATCATGCTTACTACTCACCACAGTTGTTATGTGTGTGAGTTTCCTGAAGCAGCTTCATCATGGCCTGTTGCTTACGATTGGACCTCTGGTTCTCAACAGTGTCCCACTGCATAGAGTTCACCAGAAATTTGTCATCGCAACATTATAAAGATTGACCTGTCACATGTAAAAATTTCCAAACACCTGACTGACTGCAACTTCGCAAAGTAGCTGTGCAGGCCCAAACACTAGGAAGGTGAGATCTTTAATACTAAGAAAGAGGAATATCAACTAACAGAATAGTGGAAGAAAGACCAGACGACAAGTCCTGCCCATTTGTTAAAAAAACTGCACAACTCCACGGCTATCTCCACTCCATGTACTATCTGCCTAAGGGGGTTTATCCACATAAATGAATCTTTTGAGCATGTTGTAAAGATAGACACAAGTTGGGATTTCAGCAAAAGAAAATCTGTAATTAAGGATCTAATTATAATATGAAACAATGTTGGTTGTCAGAAAAACCCGTCTAGTTGACTATTGTCCTTTAGGGAAGGAAACTGCCATCCTCATCAGGTCTAGCTCCAGGTGCACAGAAATGCTGTTGATTCTTATCTGCCCTCTGGGTAATTGGAAATGAGCAATAAATGCTGGCCTAGCCAGTGATGCCCGCATCTCGCGAATGAAAAGCTGGATAGGCCGGGACCTTTTTCATTGGAGTGTAGGAGGTTGAGAGGTGACCATATAGAAGTTTATAAAATAATGACGGGTATAGATAGTCAATAGTAGTTGTCTTTTCCCTAGGATGATGGGTTTCAAAACGGGGGCTTATTTTTAAACTGAAAGGAGAAATGTTTAACAAGGACATGAGGGGCAAATTTTTTAGAGGGTGGTTTGCATGAGGAATGAACTTCCTGAGGATGTGGTGGATGTGGATACACTTACAACATTTAAAAGACATTTGGATAAGTACACGTATAGGAAAGGTTGGAGGAATATGGGCCAGGAGCAGGCAGGTTGGGCCAGTCTAATTTGAGATTATGTTTGGCATGGACTGTTTGGACTAAAGGGTCTGTTTTCGTGCTGTATGGCTCCCAAGGAGAGGCGACGGCCTAGTAGTATTATCATTGGACTATTAATTTGGAGTTTCAGGTAATATCCTGGGGACCAACATTCAAATTCCACCAATCACAGATGGTGGCATTTGAATTCAATAAAAGTCTGGGATTAACAGTCAGATGATGACAATGAAACCGATTGTCAGGAAAGACCCATCTGGTTCACTAATGTCCTTTAGAGAATGTAATCTGTGATCCTTTCCTAGTCTGGTCTGCATGTGACTCCAGACCCACAACAATGCTGTCTAGGCACTTATGGTTGGAAATAAATACTGGCCTACCCAGTGATGCCCACCTCCAATGAATAAAGAAATAAAAACTTCTGAGGTAGAGAGTTCCAAAGTGCACAAGCTTCTGACAGAATAAAATTCTCGTCATCTCAATCCTGAGAGGGACCCCTAATTTTTAAACAGTGCCCCTTCCATGTCTCCTTGTCAAGAAAGTTTTGGATCTTATTTAATTCAATTAAGTCATCCTCACTGTTTCACATTCCAGTGAAACAAGCAGTCTTTACAACCCTTCCTCAGTAGACAATCCATTCTTTCCAGATATCAATTGAGTATACCTCTTCTGAATTGCCTCAAAGTATTTGCATTCTTCCTTTAAATAAGGAGACCAAAACTGTGCTGAATAGACTGAAAGACAAACAGAAATTGCTGGAAGACACAACAGATCTGGCAACATCTGTGGAGAGAAAATAGAGTTAACATTTTGGGTTAAGTGACCGTTCTTC